AAATAATGTGCAATAAATAACGTTTTGTATAAAGTAATGTGCAATATTACAAAATGTACAATATTGCAATAGTACAAAATAAATGAAATTTTATAATAAATAATATATGTAAAAGTTTTATTATTTTATATATAATATTTATTTATTATTATTTTTTAATTTGTCACAATTTTTGAGCATTTTTTAGCATGAATTCAAAATTTAGAAAATAATGCGTTTAAAAACTTGAGGGAATGGCTAAAACATGGCGGACCAATCACAAGTGATAGTCGTATGGCGTCACTCTGATTGTAGGCTCTCTACTGCACTCTAGACGCGATGAGCGATGAACGACGAGCGATATCCAATGAAAGCTCTACTTTTTCTCACGTGACGATGCAAAACAAAACTCTTATTGTCTATCGCTCGTTGCTTATCGCCCATTGCGTCCAATGTGAACTAGACAATACGCGACGAGAAGCACGAAAGTGACTTTTCACTGCTCGTGATTTGTTAAGCTTTCAATTGTTTTTTTCGAACGTAAGATTCGCCCCACGCGAAATTGTATCTTTCAATTTATATTTACATATGTACGTATAATACGTATTCTACAATAAAGGTACAAACCCATGCAGAGGAATACCGGAACGCAGAACGAGAGCAGAACCAATCACGAGCGTTCCGCAGTTTTCGTTACGCGGTTTCGAATCCCTTTATCTCCACAGAGCGCAATGAGCGTAAGCGGAATCAACAGCAAATTCATAAATGACGTTTAAATATTGTATTTGTCATTCATTTTTTATTATCATGTATCTAAGTACAGAATTAAATGCATTTCTCATTGACAATAATTATTAAAGATGTTAAAATTTATGAAATGATTGGCTGAAACACTACATTGTGCGCGCGCGCACACGCACGCAATGTAGTGTTTCAGCCAATCAAACTCCATGCAGTTCAGTTTGGGAAAAATTACAAGCATAATTTAAGCTAATGACAGCGATATTTTAAATTTGGAATAACTCAGCGAAAAATGATCAAGGACGGTAAAAAAGCATTTTAAAGATAAAATTCTATACTTTTACATGCATACTGTCTCATTAAGCGGCGATCTGATTAGCAAGTTATGATCACTTGAAATGTGATAAATTTTTCCCAAATTTATAGTGTATCGCTTTTTTTATAACTAAGTGTACAATATTTAAACGTTATTTATTGGACTTGCTGTTGATTCCTTATGCTCATTGCGCTCCATGGAGATGAAGGAATTCGAAACCGCGTAACGAAAACTACGGAACGCTCATGATTGGTTTTGCTCTCGTATTCCACTGCATAAGTTTGCAGCCTAAGCTATTAGTTATAAATCAGAAGTTAAAAGCTGGAAATTGACCAATCACATTGTAGGATGGTGATAACACGCATTCTACAATAAGTCATTAATCACAAATCAGAAGTAAAGCCTATGTTCACGATGCTAGAAATCGGTCCGAGATCTCGGGATAGATTCTGTATCTCGAAACGAGATGAAAATTACAAAAGTGAGCGATTTACATACTAATAATTTCATTGGTCAACATCTAGTAAATCTGCTCACTTTTGTAATTTTCATCTTGTTTGAAGATACAGGGGGTCGATTCTGGGGATCAATTCTGTATCTTGAAACGAGATGAAAATTACAAAAGTGAGCAAATTTACTAGGTGTTGATCAATGAAATTATCAGTATTCTAGTAAATTCGTTCACTTTTGTAATTTTCATCTCGTTTCAAACAATATCTTCAAACAAGGTGAAAATTACAAAAGCGAATAAATTTACTTGTTGACCAATGAATCAGTATTCTAGTAAATTTGCTCACTTTTATAATTTCTACCTCATTTCAAGATACAGAATTGATCCTCAGAATCGACCCCCTCGGATGAAGAAAGAATTAATCAATCGCAATGATCATGTGATCAAATTGTTCAAATGTGATTTGTTAATTTTTTCTTTGTCCGAGATCTCAGACCAATTTCTAGCATCGTGGACATCGGACTTTAGAAGACGACAATCACAGTCGTCAATTTCCAACTTCTAACATCTGACGTCTGATTTATGACTAATGGCTTATTGTAGAATAGCCATGATGGGGAGCACAAACTCTTGCAACACATAACACATAATGCATAAGAAAATGAACCAATCAAAGTCTTTTATTTCCTTCCTTTCCATAAAATAAAAGACTCTGATTGGTTGATTTTCTTATGCCTCATGTTTTATGCGTTATGCAAGAGTCTCCTCGCTTAAGATATGTAAGATACATTATATTTGTTATGTAAAGTTGTAAATTTTACAATTTATATTTAATTATTCAGAATCAAAATACAAAATAATTTATTCTATTCAAGAAAAATTGTTCAGTATACATATTATAATTTATAATACAAACACCAACATGCTTTGCAAATATATACAATATATTGATATTTTATGTGAATTAATTATGTTTGAAATTTTGTTATTATTATATTATATTATATTAATATTGTTATTATTGGGTCATCTAAATAGTATCCGCGGTTTTTTGTCACTAGATGTGTGTTGATGGTCATATATCTAGTGACAAAGTATCGCGGATACTTTTTAGATAACCCAATATTATACAATATAAATGAGAGATAATAAAGGTGGGGGGGGGGGGGAAGAGCGCTTTTTAAAATCTTGCATAGGGCGCCAAAGATACTGGAACCGGTTTGCTGGGATTATATAATTATTCCTAAAAGTTTAGTCTTATGAGAACCTTTTTGAAGAAAAACTTTCCCTTTGCTCCCATGATCTTCACTTCATATTAAAACGTCCATCTGTTAAACTTTGTCGCCTTCTTTCTTTGGCATATTTATATCAGTCGATCTTTCTCCATAAGGGGTTCTGCACAATAAAAGGAACAGGGAACAGAGAATAGAGAATAAGAATTTCAATTTATCAGAAATAATGTATTGTGGAATACACAGTTTCTGATAAGTTGAAATTCTGATTCTCTGTTCTCTATTCCCTGTCTCTTTTATTATGTGGAGCCTCTGATTCTTTTTCTCTTGGGCTCTTCCTTTCATTGCGATCTACCTGAATCGTTTGAGTTGTTTTCCAGCCATAGCGCTGATCTCATGTGGGAAATCTGACTCAATGGATAAGTCAGAGTTCTTTTGACAAGCCCACGCTTGTCGTGTGATGTGATAAAGAAATTTACAATCGAGACTTAATTTGTAACTGTAAATATAATATTTATTTCACGAGTACAATTTTATACGAACGTACAGGACGAACACCTCTATTGATCTATTAATATAATATTTCTTTTTTTATTATTTTTTATGCTGCTAAGCAACTCGTTACCAACACAATCCTTAAGCTTACTACGCTCGCTGCGCTAGTGAGGCATTAAGAATTCCCCACACTCAGTCTTCACCGGAGCCCTCTGGTGATTGCTTTTGTTCTGGCCATATCTGTTTCGTCGAAAATACGGGAAACCAAGAGAACCATTTTCGTGTGAAGATGAAGAAGGCTGAACAGGCATAAATCTTTAAGGATCATTCTTAAAATTCAATCGATATTAGAATAAAACAGAAAAAGATAAAAATAATCTGATTAGGCGACTTCAATTTTCAATTCACAAATCGTCTTTAATACAAAATAAAGTTTGATACAGGTTTTAAGCATTAGTGAGAGAAAGACACTAAACCGACCCAAATTAGGCGTAAACAAACCGATGCATGTGAAGAAAGAGTGAACTAGCGAGGTGGCTAAGGTGAATGCTAATTGCTAGTCGATGCAATCTTTCTTTGAGTTCGTCGTTCTTTGTGCATTGTTGTCAACTCCTTTCTAACTTTCGCATTAACATGGACGTGAATATACGTTGTCTCGCGATAATTACTTACAATAATTGATACCTAATCGGATCTCATCGACTCCGTCATCGTGTTCTCCACTCCGTGCCTCCTTATTGCTCATTGTTCTGGGCATTTAACCAATATGTCAGATGTTAAGAGCCTCGAACATCCGACACTTAAGGTAAACATTTATATCTTACTCGTTTTTGTTCCTCCCACATACAATGTTTTCGAGATAATTCGCCATTTGAAAATTTTATCGTCTATAGTATTGTGTATAATTCTGTATAATTGATAAATATACTTATTTGTTAATTAATTTCAAGTAATCTTTTATAATGTTTAAAGATGCATATCTTTGAAGAAAATCGCCAAAGATAATATTTTATTAAATGTAAATATTTAAAGAATAGATAATTTTTAGAAATAAAAATTTTTCATAACAGATGTGAATATATATATATATATATATTATATAATATATATAATTATTATCTACATATATAGGAAAGGCCCTATGAAATCATTTTGAATAAATGCTAGAAGAATTAAAAAAAAATAATGCGTCATTTTGAAGGAAAATTTAAACACACATACACACACACACACACACACACACACGTTTGTATAAAAATATATAAATGCATATTATATAGTTAATATTAAATGTATATTTTTACATTTATTTAATCTAAATCTCTCTCATAAAAATGCTTTGATGAATGCTTATATGATATTTAAATGTTTTAATAGAATATATATTATACATATAAAGGGTGTTCTAGCAAGACATACACATATTGACACAAGTGTCATTGTGTTTTTGTTCAATATTCAATGAAAGATAAAGACAGAATGGCTTCTGTGTTGATATATGAGTGCGTTTCAAAGCACAAAACACATGATACATCATTTGTCCTTATTGATCACCAAAGAACAAAGAAGGACAAAGTAATATCTCATGCACTTTATGTTTAATTTGGAAACCAAATCTTTTGCTTAATTCAGAGCCGTTCTTTTACTAGAAAGTTCTCAAAATCTACTTACATATTAATAATGTAATTTTAAAACACAGGTTCCATATGAGCTTCTGAACAAAAAGTTTCGTTCTGCTCAGAAAACTCTTGATAGAGAAGTGTCGCATGTTCAGGCAGTATCTAATGAACTTGAGAAAAGTTTAAAGACTGATGGAACTTATGTAGCAAGTGGTGAAATTAGCAAATTGCTCGGTGGTGTAGTCGCTAGGCTTCAAGTTTTAAAGCGTAAAGCTCAAGAGTCCATAGCTGAGGAATTGCAAGCAGGCATGGTGTGCAAAAGAAGATTAGATCATTTAAAGGATCATGCTAATACCTCTTCCAGTGCTGTGAATCAATGGAGACGACAGAGATTAGACAGAATGCTTGTAGAATATTTTCTTCGCAAGGGATACTACAAAACGGCTACTAAATTGGCAGACAGTAGCGAACTTAGAGATCTAACAAATATTGGTATATAGTTTGATAAGTGATCATTATCACACTTCACACAAAGAATTCTTTACCATCATTGAAGCTGCATTAGACAAGCATCAAAATACTTATATTAGTAATATAGAACAAATAGAAAGGAAAAATAGAATCATAGAGCCGGTATTCATAATCAGTTCTTATACTCAAGATCATATTATGTTCTGTTTTAAGGTGAACCAATCGAAGAAATTAGTGTCTTAGACATTACTTAAGATGATCTTGAAATAAGAACAGAATCAAGAAAATGGCGAAGATCAATATGAATTGAAAAATTTATCGCAAAAATATATTTAAAAAATTCTCTTTTCAAATCAAATTTTTAAAATTTTATAAATTCTTAGTCAGAAAAAATTCTCTGCCTTCAATATCTTATAACATTTACAGATGTATTTATGGTATCGAGGGAAGTGGAAAAATCTTTAGCCAATCATGAAAGTGCGAGATGCATCGGTTGGTGTCATGATAATCGTTCGAAGTTAAGAAAACTAGGCAGCACTATGGAATTCAATTTACGCGTGCAAGAATTTATCGAATTAGTGCGAACCGACAGGCGGCTTGATGCGGTGAAGCATGCTCGCAAGTACTTCGCCAACTACGACGATTATCAGCTGCAGGAGATTCAGTGCTGCATGGGCCAGTTGGCCTTCCCGGCTCACGCATACTTGAGTCCCTATAAGGATTTACTGGATGAAAAGAGGTTCACAATTGTGCTATTTATATTGGCCATTTATAAACAGTTACAAAGTTATTGCAAAACTTTGATATAAAAATTGTAGTTTATTTAATTTATATAAATCAATAATTCATAAGAATTTGTTTATAGATGGGACAAATTGATCGAGACATTTCGACAGGAAAATTACAGATTGTTTCAGTTAGCGAGCCAGAGCGTATTCACGGTAGCTCTGCAAGCTGGCTTGTCGGCTCTTAAAACTCCCCAATGTTACAGCGCGAATAAAGAAGGTCGAAATCCTAGCTGTCCAGTTTGCAACGAAGCGTTAAATGAATTAGCCGCACCATTGCCTTTCGCTCATTGTTCGCAATCGCGACTTGTTTGTAGTATAAGTGGAAAACCACTAAACGAATACAATCAGCCTATGATGATGCCGAATGGATATGTGTATGGTGAACAAGTAAGTTAAATTATTGAAATATTAATAAATTAAATAATTTACAATATTATAATTCTTAGAATACTAATATTTTAAAGAATAATGTTAGTAAAATATATAATGTAGAGATGATATGATCAATATAAAATACAGCAATAATTTTAAACATAAAAAAGTATTATTTTATTATAATATTAAACTATATTATACAAGGAAGATTACGCATGCATTATGTATATGTGTGTATGTGATAAAAATTAAATTTTAGTAATATATCTTAATTAAATATACAAAATTTTACTTTATATGTTTCTGTCTGAGAGAGTATAAAGTAAAATTTTATATATTTATTATGATATATATTTATATATTTATTATGATATATTATTATATGATTGTACCTTTTCCAATGTTCGTAATTATATTTTTTGTTGTAGGCATTGGAAAAAATGGCTCAAGAAAATAATGGCACTGTGATCTGCCCAAAGACCAAAGAAGTATTTCCATATAAAAAAATTGAAAAGGTTTACGTAATGTAAACTCTCGCATTGACACAAAGTATATATATATATATGTTGTACTATATGCTTGACGCTTATGCCTCTCTTTGCTCCAATACTTCTGTTATTTAAATAATAATTGTATACTATACTAATAATACTGGAATGAAATAACATCTATTTTTAAGGAAAACTTGATCGACTTATTAACATCCATCCTGCATAAAAAAATATGTAATGAAGAATATTACTGTAATTTATTGTTACATAGTATAATATTAATTATTTGTTAACGGGGATAGTTAATCCTTATTCATTTATTTAACGTTCTTTCTACAATAAATTGAATGGTTCAAACTGTTTTCCATAAATCTACTTATTCATAAAACGCAACCATGTATTTCTTATCTTACAAAGTCCTGACATATGTAGGGTTTATCAGAATTCATATTTTATATCGGATGAAAAAAGTTTTTCAGATATTGAATAAAACTGTACTAAAATGATGCACAAAAGTAATGTTAAAAGTTCAAGTTTTCTGAAAATTAGGTTATAAAAATAATGTATGAACTCAATTAACTTAATCCGTAAAATTAAACTTTTCTAAAAATTAAATTTTTTAAAGAATTCAAACACGATAGGATCGAATTTTTACATTATATTCGAAAAATAATTTGAGTAATTTAATGTGTATTTATAATCAAAAGAGCTGCAATTTTTAATCACCCTACGTATGCATATGTATATTTAGTTGATATATTGTGCATACATTCCAACATAGAAATGACAAAACTGCTGATAAAGCAGTAACAATGTATGAATCAACTTATACCATTAAAGATTTGTATTATTTTTATGTGGAAATGAATGCGTATTTAAATCTTATTAATATTGAATACTAATGCATGAATATTTTTAATAGTTTGCTTAAAATCTAAATGGTATAATATGCGCGAAACAATTCGTCGAATGAAATTTGTTCGTGTGACCGAGAATCCATATAAAAATATTTTATCTACCCTAGCAATTTTTTTTCTCTTCCTTAAATTCATGAATCTTCCGATTTTATTGGATTATTTATCGAATTCCCTTGATCATTTATTGTCTGTTGTTTTATGTGGAGGATTGTCCTTGTAGGAATTCAAAATGTGTTTTAGAATTGTTATTTTCATCAGTCTGATAAGATAACGATCGAGGTAAGACATTCCATTATTTTTCCTTAATAAAATAATGAATAGAAACACACCTTTTATATTGCGATGCAGTGATTCTATCAAGTAATTTATTTTATAACTATATTTTTTTGGAGAAGACTTATACATATAATCTATTAAATGAATTAGATCAATTTAATTAAATTTATTAGATTGTAAAACCTACGCAATTTATTTAATTCTTAGAATCACTGTATTACAAAAAATGAGTTTTTTTTCTTCAAATATGTTTGTCATGCGATGAATTTGTTACGTTCATTGATTAGTAAAGGCTAAACGAATGAAAGATATAATGGAGTAATATTATCGTTATGTATAAGTATATAGAGATAATAGATGTATTATAAAGCTTACTCTTTAGCATAATTAAAAATGCATGTGTAAATGCGAACGAATAAAATTCGCACTTCTGCTGAATATGTTCTATATCTTATATTCTTGTCTAAAGTATTTCGACACATTATATTCTCTAATATTGTTCGGATTTAATAGCTCTCTTATCAGTACAAAAAAAATAAAATTAAAACAAAATCTGATAAAATCAGTAAAATAGAATTTGGTGAAATTGAACATCTCGTAACACAGCATAACATCTAAATGAAAATCCTGTACAAAAAAAATAAAATATAAAATTATAGACGTTTAAGAGCTGTATCAAAATGTATCTTGTAATCAAAATTAATATACTGCATTACAAATATACATACAATAAAATTATTATGAATAAATTTTGATCAAAACAGATAAAAGATTGTTAAATTTGTGTGATAATGTGATTATGATATTAATACATATATTTAGTATAATCTTTGAAAAACATTCAAAATAGATATTTAAAGCTTAAACTGTATCTATTTAAAAATAATCTTTAACAAGAGCAATGTATGTTGCAATGAAAAAAATTATGGAGATCGTCCAGGTACAGCTTAATGGAAGAGTATTATCTATTGTACAGCTTAATCTCACGACCATTTGAAATGCATAAAAATTCATCGCTACATAAACCATAAATAACATAAGCATACATTATAAGCTTGTATACATATATATGAGGAAAAAAATTACGTAATTATTATTATTATATAACATAATCATAGCCCGAAAAAATGTAACTACTTCCAATTTCTAAAATTGTCACTCATTAATCTACAAGTATAAGGTGGAAAGCTCGTCAAAATTGTGAGGGGACTAGTATCAATTGGATGGCCAACAGTCTTAACTCTCCTGCATCTCGTGATGTAATATAACTTGTTCCAACTGTTGCAAAACAAAAAATTCATAAAAGCATACTAAAATTTAACTTGAAATAATTGATTATAAAATAAAGACGTAATGAATTTGTTTTAAAAAAATGACTTCATTTTGACTTCTGAAAAAATATGAGATACTATAATTTTTTTATATAAATGCAACATAAATATTATGTAATAAGAATATTAAATCAAGTACTAAATCGTACTAAAAAAGTAAAAAAATACAATCTTGTAATTACAGAATAAATAAATAATATGAAAGTTTATTACATCAGATCTTGCTATATTCTATTATGATGTAAAGAAATTATTAGACTTGGCCCTTTATTTTGTAAATTATGTTGATTTTACCAAAAATTTAAACTGCAGAATTTAAAAGTTTGAGAATTGTAAATTTAATTTTAACATAAATATAAAATTATATGTGTAATAATTTCATGAAATAGTTGCTAGAATTTAAAATTGCCTCGTCTTTCAAATTAGTTTCATATTATTACATATCTATAGCTAGTATAATTTCAAAATTGAAATATTTTCTGCAGGGAAATTCAGCATGACAACTTTAGTAAACTCTATTTAAAAATGTAATGCTTATCTATTAAGAGATATATTCTCATTACGCGTTTAACACTACATGAGAGAACAATTCTATTAAATGTTTTTATTCTCTTTTAAATGTGATTGTAATAAATAAAAAATGCGTTAAACGCGTAACGAATTACAGGTTCAAATATGTGATCTTCCTGATAATGATTTCTATTTGAATACAAAAAATGGAGCGCCGCATAACTTTTATTAATAAGGCTTATTGGTCCGGTTTTAGTAATAGGGGCAGTAGTAATAATAGTAGAGAATTAGTTTCTATAATTCTCATAGAACCATGGATTCCGGTATTTCCTATACAAATCTGTTGTATGAGACGATCATTTTGTATTATTAATGCACTTTACATGGTCTTAATTTACTTTCGTATCTATTTCTTCTATTAACGGGATTTAAAAAATTATCAATCAATAAAAACTCCAAGCCACACACTTATAGAAAACACGCATTGCTTCCAAATAGCTTAATTAAGAGCTTATCCTTATATAATTGTTATTTAAAGAATTATACGATTAGATATATATTTATATATATGTATGTATTTAACGTATATATAAGCAAACGAGCATTCTGGAAAACATCTCTCTTATTTGTGTCGAGGAAAGTAATGTTCGTTTCTGAAATGTCATTTCTTTTCTCGAGTTGTTTTTAGGAATAACGTTTTACTTTTCTTCTTCAACATTATTATTTCTTCAAGTTTTTAAATCGTTATTTCACATTATTTTAATTTGTAATTATGTGTGGGAGATAGACTGCACTCTTAATTTGCAATATTTTTTTTAGCTCCTGAGTTAATATAAGCATATTGCTAAATCTTATCTTTAAAACGATCAAAATTTTATGTTGGCCACGATAGAAGGCATCACCATGGAAAACAGAATTCCAGTGAAAATCCCCGTCATCAAAGACGCCGCTCCAAACATGCCGGCCGTCGAAGCATACTGTGAATCCACCATTCTAAATAATATATATATATATATGTACTTATTATATAAATTTTTTTCCTCTATTTTCCATTAATCACGCTTACCTAGGGCAATACATCATCGACAATGATGATAGGTAGCCGCTACTAAGGCCCATAGTAATGGCAATAACCCAGAACACCCAATCATTTTTAATAAGTACCGGTAATATTCTTTCTACGCCCATTGGCTGATAGTTGCAAATTAAAAACAATGGTATGTAGACAATTCGTAGAATCACTGGAATCACTAGATACTTTCTGCTCGGCTGAAAAAGAATTAATAAATAAAAGTTAATTAATAAACAAATAGAATTGTACAATAAATATATTAGAGATATTATCAACCATAATTTTATAATATAATTTTGTAATATAATTACATACAGAAAAAATATAAATATATAACAATATAAAGTGTGTAATACATAAAACTAAAGTTTACATACCCACTGAACCAACGATGCGATTAAACTTCCTAGCATGGCAGTGATATTGAATGTTAAAAAGCACATAACACTGCTATAATATTCAGAAGGAATCACAAAATTCTTGTCTGAAGACTGTATATCAGATTGGACAGATGGGAAAAGTGCTAAAGTGACAAAGAAGATTAAAAATATGTTGAAACATTGTGGAAAGCACGCCTTGAACACCTTCCAATAAGCTGGTTTTCCTCTTGAATTGTTCTCTAATTGTCTTTTGTTCGTCTCTTTTTGATGAAGAAGCTCGTGATATCGATAAAATCTCTACGATTCAATTAACATTAGTTAAATAACTTTTTTATACATTTTGTTTAAAAATTAATAAATCACTGTATTAATTAATAAAAAAATTTATAATTATCTGACTTAAAAGTTAATTTTTAACAAAAATCTTACATTAATTGGAAGTGCAAAGTACGTGTCAAAGCAGGCCAGGAGAATAAACAAAGCCGTGATGAAGTAATATATTGCGGCAGTGCGCGCATTTGGCGCCATTATTTGAGCTAGGAAGTTTATTATGGCTGTAAAAGTTCCACTGATATTCTGAAACAAAATTATCAATAGATAACAAATTACAAATGTTTTTGTGCAATCTTTATCGAAAGTAATTGAAGCTAATATTTACCGAGCCTAAGACAACAGCACCTGTGTACCTGATAGGTAATTTAGCTGCCATTCCAAACACTGAGTTCTGATAAATGCCATTGGCAGCTAAAATATAAATTATCAATATATATATATATATATAATTCAAATATTAGGAATCAATAATGACAATATCTATTAATAAATATACATATATATCTTTATTTAACGTACTAATTTCAATATAAACTTGTTTATTATTTGTTGTCATATATATGTTTTACATATCATACATATAATATAATAAATAAAAAAGTAAATAAATACTAATAAATTAACAACAGTTATTACAACAACTTACTTACTATTTAATATAACTACAGATATCATAGTAATCCAGAAAAATATTCCAGGCCAACCAGAACTGTCAGTCATTGCCAAAATGACAGTAAAGACAAATATTAAGACCAAAACAAAGATACTCCATACTATACGCGCCGTTAAGTTGCCTCTGAAAAGCCAAGCCTCTTTAGTGTAAAATATATTATTATTTATTTATATAAGTTGCTAAATATTATTTATATAATCTAAGATCAACAAAATTTATATTTATAATTGTAATTATCAGTATTATTAATATTGTAATAAAGATATACATAAGTTAAGCAGACATACAATATTTGTATTTTGACATAAAATATATGTATTTTGTATACATACCCAAATTGCAAAAATATATTCAGCCAATTGAATAATAAATTTGGTACGTGTGATGCAAATGACAGATATGCAAGAAAATTCATCGCATAATTTGTATCTACACCAGTATATTCCTTCGACAATTTATAACTGACAAAATACTGTAAATATAATAGTTTCATATAAATAATATTATAAAATTTCAACTATACAATATTATAATATTATAAATTATTATGTCTTGGCTTACATCTTTAGCTGTTATAAACATATTCCATGGCATCAAGGCACCGATTCCATGAAGTATCAATATGAAAAATACTAAATTTAATCTACAAAAAAAAATACAAAATATAAATTTATTTAAACCAATAATATTTTTATGATTATTATATACCGGGTGTTTCAGACCACCCTTTTATCTTCCCAGAATAAGATCTAATCATAAAAGTGTTCAGATAAAAGTTGTAGAGCTTAAAAAGATCTATTTACTAATCTTATCGGTTTGATTTTAGGTGGCGTCGCCAAAATCGCATTGATTTTTTTTAATGGAATACTCAACTTTTTATTCCAGTAATATATCTAATAGCCGATGTCGAGAGCTTTTCAAAACACTACAATAAAGTTATTTTTCATTGAGTACTTTTCGAGTTATAAGGCTCGAAAGTTACAGTACCGCCGGCATTAACGTTACACAAAATATCCAATCGACGGCTAAAATCTCTTGAATGTTGTTTAGGATCATGTCCTGAATAACATTTATCAAGATCAAAGTCATTTGAGGTTGTACTTCTTATTTTCATTTTTACTTAATAAAAAGTTCCATTAAAAGAAATCGACGTGATCTTGACCTGATCTTGCTATTTAAGGTCGAATTGATAAGATCAATAAGTAGATTTTTTTAAATCCTACAACTTTTATTTGAACACCTTTATTGGACCTTATCCTGTTAAGATAAAAGGGTGATCTGAAACACTCGGAACATATAATTTCCTATATATAGGGTGTTTGATAAGTAACAATAAATCTTTCGCACGGAGGCAAAATGAACTAAACTGAGAAGAAAAGTCCTCTATCATTTTGCAATTTTCGCAATAATTAAGATATTAATTGTTGAAAATTAGTTTTCCAATAATTTTTTACTCTATCATCTTAATACTATAATCTTTACAGAAAAACTGTAAGAGACAAAAATTGTTTATTTTCTTCTCATAAAGTTCTGAGAATTTTTTTAGAATTTTTTCAAAATTTTGTACTATCGTATTTTCTCATGTTGGTAAAAATAAGAAAAATGCAGTACTAAAAAGTTAATAAAAAAATTTTGAAAAACTTCTTAAAACTCTATAAGAGGAAAAAAAAACAATTTTTATCTCTTGTAGTTTTTCTGCAAAGTTGATAGTATGAGTAAAAAATTATTGAAAACCAATTTTCGATAATTTTTAGTAATTAATATCTTGTTTACTAATGCGGAAATTGTAAAATAGTAGAGAACTTTTCTTCTCAGGTTAGTCCATTCTGCTCCTGTGCGAAAGATTTATTTATTTATTTATTTATCAAACACTGTATATATGTATATATTATTCTAATATGCATTCCTACATTACTGAAAACAGTATAAATTTTATATAAATAAATAATTTTATTAAACAAATATTAATAAATTTATAGTATACCTATCTCTAGGAGGATTTAATTCGAGATCTGCTTGATCCATTGTAACACCTTTAAAATTCAATTCGTCGTCAGGTCTACCTGTGCCTTCCCATCCTGGTGAAAGACGTACTGGTTCTGAACCTTAACATTAATTCGTTAAAAATTTGCTGAATATCTTACATAATGTATTTGTAATATTAAACATTGTCAATATTATTATATTAATTAAAAACTTTGTATATAATATACTAACTTTCTTAAAAAATTTTTGTATTAACATTAAATTGAAAAGTTCCTATTTGAATTAAATTCAGACTTCTTTTTTAAACTTTTAGATTAGAGAAATTAATTATCTAATATAATAATTTAATATAATAATCTTAAATAATTTTTTTGGGTTTTAAAAAATTAATATTAAAAATAAAATAAATATATTAATTTTAAAAAGATAATTATAATAAAATAATTTGTTTAATATCTAAAGATAATAATGTAATTATTAATAATGTTTAAATTAATTTTTAATAATGTAATTATTAAAAATAAAGGCAAAGAAAGATTTTAGATAGCTAACATACTAAAATATTTAAAAAAAGAAAGAATGAGAAAACTAATTACAACAAAGAGATAATTTGTGCGCGTTGTAACGGAATGTGGCAATTAATTGAGTCGTTAAAATCAATTAATATAATTTGAGAGCCTATACATATATGACATATATTAACAATTTGTATAGAGAATTTAAATAATAAAAAGTTATATGCATGCAATGAGATACAATAAATGATCGTTAATTACCAACAAGCAGAGGAAAAGTATTATAAGATTTGCAAATAGAATCTATAAAAAAAGATATATTCTAAATTAGCACATTTTAGAAAACTAGAAATACTAATATAAAATATTATGTAATATATAATATATACAATACAAGCAAAACAAGAAAATACATATAAATAAACTTGTATAATGTATGCATATCAAATATAATATTATTTCTCATCAATAAATGAAGTAAATGTAACGTAAAAAAAAAATTATATATTAATATAATTTATACATAAATATATAAAATTATGTTCTTTTGTCAATTATATTTAAGGGATTAAATTGTCAAGTCACCTTCTATAATCATCTTCCTTGCATTTAATTATTTAAATAGAATTTAGCAAGATAAATAGCAAAGAAATATTATATTATTGCTTAGCAGATTATAATTATTGATAATAATTTTTTACTGAATGCTGTGAAGATTAGAAACACTGCTTGAAGTCTTGAACTTCTGACTGTGAGTGACAACATGAAAGACTCAAATTCATTCAGCTGAATCGACATGTCACATCAGCAAAATAAATCTTTGTACACAAGAAAATATGATTCTTTTAAAAGTTAGGAATGCAGGGAATTTGATATAGTTTAAATTATAACAACAAATTGTATATAAACAAATTATATATAACTGCGTGTGCAATAAAATTATAAATACAAATATAAAAGACAAATAAAAGAATATATA